ATAGATCGATTTTCTACAGGTTATCTACTCAGTGTACTGAGATAGATTTTAAACAGGTTATATACTCACTATTCCGATAGATTGTCAGTTGATATCCGATCTATGAGTTTGACTCTCCCTCTGGTATCTTTCGCCCCTCTTTGATTGTCTACAGGTTCTTTGCTCACTGTACTGATAAACTGATTGCCTACAGGTGATTTACTCACTGTACTGATAGATTGATTTTCTATAGTTTATCTTCTCATTTTACTGATAGATTGATTTTCTACAGCTCATTTACTCACTGTACTGATAGATTGATTGGCTAGAGGTTATTTACTCACTTTACTGATAGATTGATTGCCAACAGGTTATTTACCCACTGTACTGATAGACTATTGTCTGCCGGTTATCTACTCACTTTAGTGATAGATTGAGTGTCTGACGGTTATCTACTCACTCTACTGACTGACTGATTGTCTGCCGGTTATCTTCTCATTGTATTGATAGACTGATTGTCTGCCGGTTATCTCATTACTGTACTGATAGACTGATTGTCTGCCGGTTATCTTCTCATTGTACTGATAGACTGATTGTCTGCCGGTTATCTTCTCATTGTACTGATAGACTGATTGTCTGCCGGTTATCTTCTCATTGTACTGATAGACTGATTGTCTGCCGGTTATCTTCTCATTGTACTGATAGACTGATTGTCTGCCGGTTATCTTCTCATTGTACTGATAGACTGATTGTCTGACGGTTATCTACTCTCTGTTCTGATAGATGCATTGTCTGCCGGTTATTTACTCACTGTACTAATAGATTGATTGTCTACAGGTTATCTACTTACTGTACTGATAGATTAATTGTCTGAAGGTTATCTACTCAATGTACTGATAGATTGACTGCCTGAAGGTTATCTACTCAATGAACTGATAGATTGACTGCCTGACGGTTATTTACTCAATGTTCTGATAGATTGACTGTCTGACGATTATCTTTGCACTGTATTGATTGATTGATTGTCTGACGGTGATTTACTCATTTTACTGATAGATTGACTGTCTGACAGTTATCTCAATTTTACTGATTGTGATATATGGATTACCTTCTTGTTATTTTATTCTTAACAACACCGTGCAGCTGCGAACAGAATCGCCATTCAATCACAAGGAAGTAATAGACAACACATTATAATAATAAAACAGGGTCCGAATTAGTTTGAAACTAGAAGAAAATAGTTAAGGCATCAACAGCTGTTGGTTATACTGTTCCCGAAGATAGTAACTGTCCTACAATCAGACAATTAGTTGCTTTAAATAGAGAAACATCAATTATCTACCTTTTTCTATCGTTATTCATTTATCATGTTTTTGATGTGAGTTGGAAAGGCCCATCACGTTTCATAGCCTTCATCGATGATGAGTTTATTCATAACATGGGTCTGTTGAATACGGCATTAACATCCTCTATAAAAAATAACAAAAATAAGTCTAACCTTTAGTGAAACATGTGAAAGGTTAACTCGAAATCGAATGGTAACTCTGTATAACCATATACACCGACGATAGTGTTTAAACAATTATATTTGTTTAAAACTGAATTATTATTCGCGTAGTCTTTAAGCGATACTTTTTAACTTTTTCGTAAAGCTGGAGGTTTGGCTAGCCATTAAACCCGGTTCAATCCTTCATGTTTTCTAAAAGTGTCCTAAACCAAGTCAGGAATATGGCAGTTGTTTTCAAATAGTTCGTTTATGTGTGTTTTTCGTTTGTTGTTGTTTTTGTGTTCCTGTTGTTCCTTTGTTTTCCTCTTTAACATGTTTAAGTTGATGTGTTTCCCTTAATTTTGGTATAATACCTGGATTTGTTTTCTCTCAATCGATTAATGACTTTTGAACACCAGTATACTACTGTTGTCTTTGTCTATTAAGTGTTTATTTTTTGGGAGAAATTCTGTTGTTTGAAGCGACTTTATTTAAGACGTTGGTAGGGCCTGTTAAAGGTGCAGTGGGGATTGAGCTTTTACTTCATTGTAATAGAACCGAATTGTGATTTTAGATATATGGCAACATTAATAGCACTGATCCTTTTCTTATGATTTTGCGAATAGATCATAAATGTATTATGTGTAATGCGTTGATTAAATTCATGTTTTCTTTTTTAAAAAAAAATAATGTTGGCTTCGAGATTGAAAAGGTTCGAAAGCTAATGGTTTTAGATAAATTGAAATTAAATAAAGTAGATAACTAATCACTAATCAAACGAATGATTCACAACGTTAAAATATAGAAAAATATTAATAAAAAATCAAATTGCTTAATGAATACTGTATAAAAGCAGAACTGTATCATATTTAAGTGTCTTAACATAGATGAATATATGATTTGAGCAAGTCTTTGTTATATACAACAAGCACAAGTCAGTTAAATGTTGTCGGGACAATAACATAAAGAGACCTCACAGCTGTATAAATTAAAAAAAAAAAGTTTTGTTACAGAATGATGTTTAGGCTTTTTAAATGTACACACTTCATTTGATGCAGATGATTTAAGTCTGACATTTAGCTTCTGTATATGAAGTATCAATCATTGTGAAGACTGTTTAGGTCAAATATTGAAAGATAGAATCAAATTATTGAAAGATAGAATCAAATTATTGGTAAAGTAAAAATCATGTGTTATTTTATACAATACCAGACAACTTTTGCAATTTGCAATGGATCAACATAAAGAATTTATCGCTTACCAAGCAAAATACATACATAAGAAATTTCAACACTCTTTCCTTAAGGTCAATCTGTTATCTGGACGTTAGAGAGTGGAAACAGGAACTGCAGTATCTTTAGTATTCGTATTTTTAGTATTCTTTTTTTTTCACTTATCTTTCAGGTTAGAGCATTTTTTTGTGACTCATCAACAATTTGTATTATATGAGTAGAAAACACAGTGTCACTTGTGGATAAAAAAAACCTGACGCTTTGGAGCATCTTCATTTTCTCTGGTTCGGAATGTGCCAGAGTTCCTCAATCTTCAGTTTTATGCCCCTGCAACTAAAAGTTGGGGGGCATTTTGTTTGACCCCTGTCCGTCTGTCCTTCCGTCCTAACCATTATGGTTATATATTTATTCCGCATAACTCCTCCTACAGTTTGAATGCAAGGAAGTTTTCACTTTGCTGGCTGTTTGTACATATATTAAAGGTGTGCATGTGGTTAGGGTTTTGATTTTTATAAATAATTGCTCTTTTGGGAGAAAGTTGATCTTTGTCATTTTTGGAGTATTTATTTGTATAAGAAATAGTCCGAAAGTGAATCACAAACATAAGTGCTCCTATGCTCAACTTTGATGTATTTTAAAATAAAATTTTGCATCTGAGAGGGCTTCATTTACGTCTCACAGACACAATAATATCTCGAAGAAGTCTCACATTGACTTTGTTATAAAACAATTACTTCAGAGTGGGGTGGGGGGCATCAATATTGTTTTGAGCGTGAATGATGAGTCTTATGTAGACGACACGCGCGTCAGGCGTATTGAATTATAAGCCTGGTACCTTTGTTAACTATTTGTCTAGTTTTAGACTGAAGTTCACTATTGTTAGTCGTTTTTCTTGGATTGAAGTGCTTTCTGTCTTCCTTACACTTAAGGTAATTGCTTGTCCTCTTAGGATCTTTGAAATGTCTCACCTTTGTCTTGCCAACACAGCATTGGATGAATCTATGTGTCTCATCCGATTTCATTTGATGTTGGAATAAAAACATTTGGATAGAATTTGATAGCTGTTTGCATGTCACTTTGTGATACATATTTTTTGGTCTTCAGCTAATGCATCGTTCTACTGAAGTGTTATATGTGTAGTTATTTCATTTTTATGACATAATTAGCTTAATTAAAAATATATTATGCAGTTTAGGTAGATAGTTGTCGAAGTAAAATGAATATAGACCTCGCTTTGTACTCAACTGACGAGCAGGTTTCGAACGTTTAATTTTAAGGTAAAATTCTACTGGAATACACGACATCATACTCCGACATTTCCATTTGATTATGTTCCCAATACATATTTCTAAAGAGAGTAGCAACAAATATTATAATTCATGTGTAATTCATTGCCGTTTATCAAACCTAGGACCCATGAAATCGTACTACTAAAAAGACAAACTTTTGAGAAAATAGTTTGAAGATGTCAACGAATGAGAATAAAAGTTAGTTTAAACTATGTGCGTTCGGAATGCTTTTTCTGGATTTACCTTTATTACGCTAAAAACCTAAAATTTGAAGAAAAAATATCATGAAAGAAATGTTTATGATTTTGTTTTATTTGCTTTATAATTTAAAAAAGAATCACTTGTCCACCTGATTCGACATGGTGTTCTCCAAAATAAATTGATAAACACCATGGAAAAATTATCATATTTATTGTTACCTGTGTACGTTATCTTATTTACCGACATTTTGTAACAGGTTATAGTTGTCTTTTTGACGTTGTTTACATATTGTATTTATATTGTGTCATAGATAAAATTTATTCGTTCATTGTGTGATTACTCGTTTTTGTTAATATTTTTTTATTCGAATTCAGCCATTTCAATTGATATTTTAAAGTGTGTCTTTCCATGTTGTAATGTTATACTACTGTTTAAGGTTAGGGTGAAGGTTGATGTCTGTTATAACGTTAAACCCGTTGCATTTGTTTGCACCTGTCCTGTGTCATAAATGTTTTGCGTATTTTTTTGTATAGTTTAGACCGTTGGATGTCCTGTTTGACTGTTTTAAACTAGTCATTTTGAGGCCCCTTATAGCTTGATGTTCGGTGTGAGCCAATGCTCCTTGTTTGACCTATAATGGTTTACTTTTTGGTGACTTGGATAGAGGTTTGTCTCATTGGCACTTATACCACATCTTCTTATTTCTGTATTGTAAAACTTAAATATTTGCATACGATGATATAATGATATAGTAACAACTTTTCTTTATGTGTATGTCAGATTGAACCCCTCCTGGCGTACAAAAATATAATCCTTGTATATATGAGGAGTTTATTAGTAAGTATATGTTATATAATCAGCAACAACATGATTTGATCGATTGAATCATTTAAACGATATATCTAATCTCGCTTTTAGATATGTGAAAGAAAATTCAAAATGAGATTTGAGTGCACTTAAAGAAACATAAACTTTGGAACAAAATAAACATCATTTATCAAAGCAAATTTAAAATATGGAAAGGTTAGGCAGATATGCATATTTTAATTTTGAGATGATAAGCATATAAGAATTTAGCTTGTAATCAAAGTATCAAAGTAAAACTAATGTTTTACACAACAAATAAACCTACAACTAGAATATAGCATCTCGCAGGGTGGAATGACCTTCTATTAGTGTATGGTCGACCTAGGCCAAAAACGACAAGCACTTCTCTGTCAACCTTAGGTATTTCGTCAATGTTAATTCCTTTCATTGGAAAGACGTAGTGACCTGATGGTAAATGTATTTTAAATCTGCTATCTTTAGAATGATCGTCTGAACATATTGATACATTTCTAGACCTGCATTTCAAAATTCCCACAGATGGTGACTGGGCATTATTAAACAAATATTTTTCCTCCTTGATATCTAAATAAATATCATTGATATCAAGCTTTGCTACGCTAATTAGAACTTGGACATTGAATGGTACTGTTTTTTCTTCCTTAACAATTGAAGTAACTACCATATCTTCATTGCAATGTGGATATGGAGTTAAGAAATCGACCTTATCTTCATCTGGATTTAAGGTCACTAGAAAACGATAAGATTTTTTCCAACAGAAGTCTTTCTCAAACGGCCAACAACAAGTATTTGTGTTGAAAATTGGTCTGAATATTCTCTCATGTTCTTCATCGAATCCTAAGTAACAATAACCATTGTTCATGTTTGTCTTTGCAATTATCCTCAATACAATTTCGGATGTTGGTGGAGTTGGTTGATCCAAATCGTTGGTACCTTTGGATCGTTTGGTACCTTTGATTGTCCCTCTGGTATCTGTCGCCCTTCTTTTGTTACTTGTAGCCATCTACAACAACAGAAATCGTCAATTACTTTAACGGTCATCTCGAAAACTAATGGCCCTAAAGAGCCAGTATCGCATACCTATATCAATGAGCATCTTCAACAATGGTCACTACAACTATTAGATATTTTTGGCGGTATGACTACATTTCATTGCAGCCAGGTTCTAAATAGCAAAACAATGGTGGTTCGGCCTGGCTTAGATTGACAGTAATGTGAACGTTTCTGGGCCATTTTTGTTTTGGTTTTAAAATGAAAAACAGCAATAAAAGCCCTCTTCCTGAATAAGTAAACCTTGAAATGATGCACCATATTAATTCTTTTCTGTCATAAAATAATCCCACAGTTACCAAAAGTGAGGTAAGATCTAGTGGTTTCATATCATTTTATCATCTACTACAATGTCGTTGGATGTAAATGTCATAAAGAAATGTGATAAAAAAAAACCAGAATAACACAACCTTGTGTGATTCACATATCAAAAGTTAATCTGTACCCAATTTAAATACAGAACCCAAAATGTTATCAAAATAATTTTAGAAATACATTGTCACGTATACATAAATACCCCAGATGCATGTTCATGTGTACAATTTACGCTGTTATACCAGATGTGTAGTAGTTCCGGGTGATTTATTTCAATATGCGCTGTTAATAGCTTGTCTCAGCTATTGTAGTTTAAGCCTGTCTATACTCTTTACTTTTATCTTGATACTGCACAAGGTTGAGCATTTGTCAGATTATTTGTTGTGTTTTAACACTAAATCAGTTTGATGTTTACTGATTGATACTTTAGTCTGGGAGAACCTGGTTTATTTATCAGTTGCAATTGGCTTTAAACTAGCTTTATATTACTGCAAAGAAGACATTATAGTAACATTTTTTAATTGGCTGCTTTTTATCATAAACCCACACCGATACAGTTGTTTATTATATCAAAACTTTATTATTCTGTCTTAGAAATTGAAGACAAATGGTGACATGACCACGTGGATATGATCCCTTTCCTAGTGCGATTTGTATAATACCTATTCATGACAGCCGTCATTTACATCAAAGGAGTAGATCCAGTAAGGGCAGATTTTGGCCTCAAACTTCAATTTCATCTGATGAAAGATTTTGGACACTTTTTAAACACTCAAGTGTCTACTTCATTCGATTCAATTAGTTTTTGTGAAAGATTTGAACTCATTTGGTCATTAAAGACGATCAAATTCAAGCTTAAATATAAAAAAAATATAGAAGATTCAGAAGCCTTTACAGATAATTCCAATCAAGTATTGTCATGTTTCAACATTTATATTGTTCATAAACACGCTGCATTTTTTGATAAATAAATTTGAAAATGTATACCCAAATATATGGCAGTGTCAAATAATAGGTTTTATTATAATAAATTATTTGTGTAAAGCTTTTACACATAATTCATTAAAAACCTTTAGCAGTTTACATTCTTTTAATATATAGTTATCAGTTTATTTTCGATCTATGAGTTTGACTGCCCCTCTGGTATCTTTCGCCCCTCTTTGATATTGTAGAATTGAATACTGAACTTTATAAAACCGAAAGTAGTTTTTCATTTTCCTTGCTTTAGTATGGCCTTTTGTGTACCTAGGTGAAGGAACTCAACTTTGGATGGTTGTTCATAGGAAAGTGCATTGCTTTACAAAATCTTTGATCCGTAAATGATAATACATGTACATCATTCTAATATGACGTTCTTCAAACGCTTTGATTACACACTGGTGATAAGATTCAGAAATATTCATATTTTTCTATGTTGTGATGTTACACTATAGTTTCAGACAAGGGTGAAGGTTGATACCTATTAAAACGTTTAAACCCGCTAACTTTGTTTGCACCTGTCCTAAGTCTGGAATCTGATGTTCAGTAGTTGTCGTTTGTTGATGTAGCTCATACGTGTTTCTCGTTTCTCGTTTCTTAGATTAGACCGTTGGTTTCCTGTTTGAATGGTTTTACATTAGGTATTTTTGGGGCCCTTTACAGCTTGCTGTTCCGTGTGAGCCAAGGCTCCGTGTTGAACACCGTACTTTGACCTATGATGGTTAACTTTTGCAAATTGTGACTTGGATGGAGAGTTGTCTCATTGGCACTCATATCACATCTTCTTATATCTATCTATATATGTCAGCTGATAGACAACGTCATGATTTGTTTGCGCTGTTCCAATCGTACTCCCATGTCGTATGCATTTTATGAATGATAACCTCACGTCATATGGTGTAAATAACGTAAGAATGTACGGATTTTACGGGAAAATGCATGAATGGGAAACTGAAGACACGAACACATAAACAAACGGTGCAAATAATTTGTATAATTTCATTATATTCTTAAAAAAAGTAAGAAAGTCAGTCAAAATAATCCAAATCAGTCATAGTATATTATTGTATATCGTCTAAGAATGTCACCTATCTCAAGTATTTAACATTGATGATACAAGCACTTTTGTATTTTATCAACACATTTACTTCTTAGAAATGTATCAACTGAAATACATTTTCAAAAATGGGTTTTCCCATAACTATTTTTAGTAACAAATCAAACATTATTAACAACAGGTACAATGTAACAAAATCGCGACAAAAAGTATTTAAAGAAATGAAAACAACGGTAATACTTACATTATCTGTTTTGACAATTACCGCTTGTCTAATCTGGTCTAATGAACCTACAAAAAATCAATTAAAGTAACTAAAGTATTACATATTTATATAAATAAGATTTCATATTATTTGTACATGATGATACTGTTTGTAGATAGATGTGTTCAGGTACATAAACAAAAGTTATGTATCACGGTAATGAAATCGTGTAGTAAACGAATGACTTTATGTTTTAGAACTTGTTGTATCACTATAACGCAATGTGAACATCTACAGCTATATAGACATTGGTTAATATGTAATTTGTTGAATACTCTTCGTTACGAGAACACAACAGAAAAACCAAAAGACTTTTTAACATCGTATAGGTACTCTCTGTTTTTATCATCATGTGTTACAGTTTGTATGTTACCTTCATTGTACGCGCATGGGTTGCATGCTTGCGCTTTTACTATTTACTCGTATTTATATATTGTATACATTGTATAGTATGTAAAACTCATATAACATGTATAAGATTAGAAAACATCATAAAGTTTATATTTAAAGTAAGAACAAACATGTTAAAATACCATACACCTCACCCGGGGACTCAACTAAACTAGACATATTTAAGCTAATGAAATAAAAAAATCTAAATTATAAGTCAACAAGTGTGTATGTGTGAAAATAATACAACGCTTATTTGAATCTTTACTTTTTAAAAGTAAAAGTGTGCTTAGGAAGGAAAGAATACCTAAACCACCTAAGATAAAAATCAAAATTATAAACAACTTTAAGATTTTAATGAATGGCATTATAAGTAAGCCGGCAGCTTTAAACAACTTTATCATCAGTTTGTCACGTGTTAAACCTTTCAAATTTATCAACCAAGAATGTAATTACAAGCCAGTCAAGCGTACTTTAAATAAAGTAAATAACAAATTTAAGAACAATCAAAACAATACCCAATATGATAAAAGACATCCATATATGTACGCTTAATGTTAAAGGACTAAGAGATAAAGAGAAAAGAACCAGATTCTATCAATGGATAAAAATTCAAAAAAAGTCTTATAACTTTTATACAAGAAAGTAATTTTGATGAAATCTAGAACAAAAATTATATACTGAAACTACTAACTATTTCTATTTTAGTCATGGTACAACCCAAAGTAAAGGTGTAGCCATTATAATTGATAATAGACTAGATGGCAAAGTAATCAATGAAAACAAAGACAAAGACGGCAGACTACTAATGTTAAACAGAAATCGAAAATATAATTTATTCGCTCATTAACATATATGCACCAAACATAGAGACTGAAAGAAACATCTTCATAATCTTCCAATAATTGTCAGGAGTCGTAGACAACTATGAATATTGACCAGGCGTAGGTCTGAGGGAGCCACTCTCCACACAGGTTTAATATGTACAAATAAAAAGCTGGTATTTACAGTTAAAACTATCTACATCAAATGGTGGTTTATGTGGTTGTCCTCAGGGCCGCAGCTGCATGGAGGCTGGCCTTGAAGTCGTCCAGAGTCGTTGAGTTGGTCACCGTTGTTGGCAGATGGTTCCAATTCTGGATAGTGCGTGGAAAGAAGGATTGTCTGTACACTTCTGTTTTGGTGTATATATGCCTCAATCTGTTTGCCCCTCTGGTTCTGTTGTCACTTTTGTTGATGATACTGTCGGTTTCTGGGATGAAAAGCATGCCATTGATGGCCTTGTACATGATCAACAGGCGATGGTCTTTACTTCGGTCTTGTAATGATTCCCATTTGAGAAGCTGAATCATGTTGGTGACACATCCAGGGGTTTTATCTCCGTAGTTATTAGACATAACGGGCTCCCCTTCTTTGCACTTTGTCGAGGCGGTTTATGTCTTCCACTTTGTATGGGTTCCACACAGCAGACGCGTACTCCAATGATGGTCGGACCATGGATCTGTATGTTGTTTTTCGGACTGTTCTGTTATAGTCTCTGAAGTTGCGGCGCAGGAATCCTAGAGTTCTTGAAGCTTTGGCTGCAGTTATCTCTGCATGCTTTTTCCAAGTTAGATCTTCGCTGAGAGTAACGCCAAGATATTTGCTGCTGTCCACAACTTCGAGTTGGTGTCCATGTAGGTGGTACTGTGTCTCTAAGATTTTTTTTTCGGTTGGTGCCTATTCTGATGACTGTGCATTTAGCAGGGTGAAAGCTCATCTGCCATACATGTTACCATGCTCTAGGGCAGCCAGATCTTGTTGGAGGTTGTTTGCATCTGCTTGATTCCTGATGTGCTTATATAACAAGCTGTCATCAGCAAAAATGCGAACTGCGGAAGATGAAACTCAATTAGGCAGGTCGTTAATGTATACCAGGAACAAGAGCGGACCTAGGACGGTGCCTTAAGGATCTCCAGCAAGAACATCTAGCATCTCTGAGGTAGAGCCTTTTACTATCACTGTTTGTGTTCGAGATGAAAAAATGATGAAATCCCTTTTTGGCTGTTTCCTCTAATCCCATAAAATCCTAGCTTGTACAAAAGGCGTTGGTGTGGCACTTTGTCGAAAAATTTGGAAAAAAATATGAACCCCTTAAAAAAAATCGGAACACCCCCGCCCCCCCCCCCCCCCAAACTTTTCGAATCCCCCTTGGAGCCATGGAACCATTGTAAGGGAGGTAACTCTAATGCAAAAAAAAAACCAAACAAAGCATAATCAATTCTGAGTAAAAATTTATTACCACAGAACCCTTTGATATACACTAGTGTAATATTATATGTATTTAAATCACAGTATTTGATGTTTCTAGAAGCAGCTAAAAAATATTTCATACTAGAACTAGCAAACAAATAGCAAAAAGTACCAACATATATAGCAACAAAGCTAATGCAATTGTCCATTAACCAGGAAACCCTTGTTTTTGCCCCTTTTTTGCCCTTAATTCCTAAACAGATTGAGCCATAACCCCCCAAAGCTAATTCTAACCATCCTTTTGTGGTGTGGAAACTTGCGATACAATTTCAGACAATTCCATACACTGTTCCACAAGTTATTGTCTGGACACTAGAAAAATGCTTATTTGGACCCCTTTTTGACCCCTAATTCCTAAACCATAGGGACCATAACCCACAAAACCAATCCCAACCTTACTTTTGTGGTTTCAAACCTTGTGTTTAAATTTTATAGATTTATATTTACTTATACTAAATTTATTGGCAAATTTCCAATGGAGTTTATTATACTAAAGTTATTGGCAAATTTCCAATGGAGTTTATTATACTAAAGTTATTGGCAAATTTCCAATGGAATTTATTAATACTAAAGTTATTGGCAAATTTCCAATATACATAATTTAAAAGCAGTGTAAGTGGAGTAATTCAAATGTGTTTGAATAACCTCCCTTACACTGCTTTTAAATCATGTTTTTTACTTAAGAAATTGTTAATTAACCTAGAAACCCTTGTTTTTCCCCCTTTTTTGCCCCTTATTCCTTAATGGTTTGAGCCATAACCCCCAAAAGCCAATTCTTACCATTACTTTGTGGTATGGAAACTTGTTGTATAATTTCAGAGAGATTCATACACCATTCCACAAGTCATTGTCTTGAAACTAGAAAAATGCTTATTTGGGCCCTTTCTGGCCCCTAATTCCTAAACTGTTGGACCAAAACTCCCAAAATCAATCCCAACCTTTCTTTTGTAGTCATAAACCTTGTGTTTAAATTTCATAGATTTCTATTCACTTATACTAAAGTTATTGTGCGAAAACCAAATGTCTTCGGACGACGACGACGACGTGATACCAATATACGACCGCAGAAATTTTGCCGTCGTATAAAAACTTGAAGAAAAAAGAGGCTTGAGAACAGGAAAGATGTGTCAATCATAACTATACAAGCATAAATTTAACAATTATAGATGCTAACCCTTTCGGTGCGTATAAAAAACGATAAACAGACAGAAAGTCACAGGACAAAAAGTAACAAATTTAATAAGACAAAAAGTCAAAAATAATTTGATAATAATTGTTTGAATATATAAGAAAAAAAACCTTGAAATATTTTTTATTACATATATTCATTTTACAGTTTTGAAAATTGTTCATTAGCCTTGATAAATGAACATTTATTAAATTTTAATCTTGCAAATGATATAATTCCTTGGCACAACTAAGCCGTTTAAGTACCAAGCCACTTTGACATTTTGTTTTCTTAACAATTATTTGCTTGTTATTGATATTTATTCAATTTCTATTTATTCAATAAATTTCAAGTACAAATTGCTTTATATATATCAAAGTTATGAAAAATACAAAAATGTTTATTTAAAATATAGTGTTTTTTTTCAAATAAAAATAATATCAAAACTGAAATGTGACTATTGTCCTGTGACTTTCTGTCCTACATTTATAACAGACAGCTGACCCCAAAGGGAGATGACCTTAATCACATCTTTTGACAGGTAATTAAATTTTGCTATATACATTTTGACATTCTTTAATTTAAGTATTAAATATCTTGTACCCATAAATATTCATATATTGATTCCTGATTATGACTATCAATTTTGACTACACTTGCATGTACACGTTACATGAATGCAGAGGTAATATTTCTTTGCACCATGAAGTCATTAATCTACCAAGCCATTTTGACAATTCTTTCAATTTCTGATTTTTTTAAAACCAATTTTGTTTACAATGATGCTTTATATAATAGTTCAAAGAAAAATACAAAAATATTTTAAAAACATAAGCGTTTTCCTATTGAAAGAAAAATAATCTCAAAACTGAATTGTGACTTTTTGTCCTACATTCGATTTATTTAAGGGAAGACAATTTAAAACAATACCAACTATTTTGGGGAAAAATCCAATTATTTTGATCATTATTTTAAATAAATTGCATGCATATATTTCTTTAAAAATCATATTTTGGGAATAATAATTATCAATCCCTCATCTGTGTCAAATGTCCATTGTTAAACAATCTCAATAATAAATGCACAGTATCTATGATTTTGTCCTTTATTATATCAGTATCATTGAACTCTAATGCAATTTTTCTGAACTGATTATTATATATTCTACTTTTAGGAATTTTGGTCCTCAATGCTCTTCAACTTCGTACTTTATTTGGCCTTTTTAACTTTTTTGGATTCGAGCGTCACTGATGAGTCTTTTGTAGACAAAACGCGCTTCTGGCGTAAATACAAAATTTAATCCTGGTATCTATGATGAGTTTATTTTCTACATCACAAGTTGGTTGACCTTTATGGAATATCTATTTCACAGATGACAACAGATATGTTCCTTTGGTCGTAACTGCAATCCCATCCCATTTTCCTTGAATGTGACCTACCCAATTGAACTTATCACGGGTTTTGTACTTAGTAACATGAGCCACTTTGACAATTCTTTTCATTTTTGATTTTTTTAGAACCAATTTAGTTCACAATGTTGCTTTATATAATAGTTCAAAGAAAAATACAAAAGTGTTTTAAAAACATAAGCGTTTTCCATTGAAAAAAAAATCATCTCAAAACTGAATTGCAACTTTTTGTCCTGTGACTTCTTGTCCTATATTCCATTTGTTTAATCGCAGACAATTTAAAACAATACTAACTACTTTGGGAAACATTATTTTGATCACTGATTATATATATATAATATATTCAGCCAGCTGAAGGACGCCCCCGGGTGCGGGAATTTCTCGCTGCATTGAAGACCTGTTGGTGACCTTCTGCTGTTGTCTGTTATATGGTCGGGTTGTTGTCTCTTTGACACATTCCCCATTTCCATTCTCAATTATATATATATATATAACATGTATAAACAGTTATTACTATATTGCATGTGTATATATTTCTTTATAAATCTTAGAAAAAAAAATGTAATAATGATAAAGATTATAAAACTGTCTAATAACTGTAAACATTAAGATGACATTCCGAACAAGATATTTTAATTGCTTAAAACTCTTGAATATGAAATTTTACACTGTTTTACCTGTCATAATCCCAGTTGTTAATCTATTGCTCTTAATTAATATCTGACAATTATAGTTCACCTAAGGTCACCTGGTCATTTGATCACAACAGGTGGTCTAACAAGATATATCCAGCATGTCAGAGATACAATAAATGCCAAACATATTTCACACACAAAGTCTAAATGTGTACTGTACTATATGCACTTGTGATAAGAATACAACTTTTAACTGCAGCATTTCCTTCTGAAAGGTAAGCCTTATACCCTCCTTACTTAAAACATTGATTCAGAATTCTAGTGTTGTGTGGATAAATTACAAAAAAAATAATATAGCTGTTATCAATTTTGATAAAGTTCATTGCTTAGAAAAATTGCCTTTTCAACTATTCAACAATCAGTCACTACTTATACAAGTGATTTCATTATCACCTATTTCAGTGATTTGATAAATTCATTTATCACCTATTTAACTGATTTGATAACTTCAGTTATCACCTATTTAAGTGATTTTGGTGTTTCCTTTGATCAGATATTGTGGTGAGAATTGCGACAGGTTGTATGCAAAAAATAACTTGCATGTAAAAATTTTGATACAATATTTCTATGCAGCATATTTTGGGAATAATAATTATCAATCCCTCATTTGTGTCAAATGTCCATTGTTTAACAATACCAATAATAAATGCACAATATCTATGATATTGTTCTTTTTTATATCAGTATCATTGAACTCTTAGGCAATTTCTCTTAACTGATTATTATATATCTACTTTTCTACATCACAAATTGGTGGACCTTTATGGAATATCTGTTTCACAGATGAAAACAGAAATGTTCCAATTGTCGTAACTGCAATTCCGTCTCATTTTCCTTGAATGTGACCTACACAATTACACTTATCACGGGTTTTGTACTTAGTAACATGAGCCACACGACCGGTTTCTCAAGTGCAGCAGGATCTGCTTACCATTATTTCTGAGCACCTAAGATCACCCCCAATTTTGGTGGGGTTCATGTTCCTTAGTCTTTAGTTTTCTATGTAATGTTTTGTGTACTGGTGTTAGTTTGTCTTTTTCTTTTTTAGCCATGGCATTGTCAAGTTTGCTTTTTTTACTTATGAGTTTGAATGTTCCTTTGGTATCTTTCGCCTCTCCTCTACTACTTACTTTTTGTTCTTCAACTAGTTAAGTACGTCCTATATCAATGTATGTGGGGAATATAAGTGCTTAAATAACTTCAGGTTTCGGATCCAGACATTTTGATAAGGGGGGTTCCATCCCTGGAAAACCATGAAACTTTTACATTTTAAAAAAAAGAGGAAAAAAGGGGGGGGGGGGGGGGGGTTCTAACTCCTTGATCAGAAAATGAACTAGTTGAACCAAACCATTTTTTGATGTGCCTTTCCCATATCAGGGAACTTTCTAGGGAATTATTAACATGTCCATGTATAATGAAATTTAATGTCATTGATAGATGTGACCTACTGAATCAGACTATTTACCGGATTTGTAATAACATAAGGAACACGACTGGTGCCATATGTGGAGCAGGATCTGTTTACCCTTCCGGAGCACCTGAAATCACCCCCAGTTTTTGGTGGGGTTCGTGTTGCTTAGTCTTTAGTTTTCTATGTTGTGTCATCTGTACTATTATTTGTCTGTTTGTCTTTTTATTTTTGGCCATGGCGTTGTCAGTTTGTTTTCGATCTGTGAGTTTGACTGTCCCTTTGGTATCTTTCGTCCTTCGTTTTCGTCTTAATACATTTACCACTTTCTCTAGCATGTCTAGACTCACTGAGTCTCTCAAAGTGATTCAGTTCTTGACACCCGTATGGGTGCTTTGGTATTGCCGAAGACTAATGTTTATATAGCCGTTGGTTATTTTTTGTTTTGTGTTTGCTGCTTCATTGACAAATACATATTAAGCAACTTTCAAATAACAGAATAATCCCTATTTCAAAATCAAAGTTTTATAGCTAAATTCTTCATTTTATTTTTACTAAAATGAAAATTATGACTAACCTTTGGTCAACTAAACTTACAAAGCATTGCTCATTGTAAGGGCGATTTTAAAACCAATTTCATTGCTCTGAATTACCGTTTTAAAAGTGTGCTTTACATTTTTGAATGGTGTTTATATTTAAATACCTGGCTTTGTTGGTTGATTTTTCTTAATTTCTCCATACATTCTATCAAATGGATTGGAAGATACTGGTTTTTCATTCTTTGGTGGTCCACACACCAGCACATTTTCACGTACATCATTATAATTACTTCTTTTAGCACCATTTGATTTCTTCCGATGCTCATCTTTTTGGGAAATTCTTTCGTCTTCTCTATGTTCCCGTTTTATTTTCTTTGCTGGATTTGAGTCTGAATTGTGTTGAGAATTTGTTGCTGAGTGTAGTTTGAACTGTTTTGTAAAAGGTTTTGAGGGAATTGAAGAAGATGACATTGATTTACCTAACTTGTTACTTGGTGACGGTTTAGATGAATTAGGCACAGGCGACGAAGATTTAGTCACTAATTTTTCTGAATAAGGATTTTTCCTTACAGTATTTTGTGAAGAACTTGCTGATTTTGTCACTAAATTTGAAGTGGATTTACTTTTTAATGAATTAGAGATTTGCTTTTCTCTTTTAACATCCACAGTTTGTCTCTCTTCAATTTCAGCCTCTCTTCTTATTTTCTTATTTTTTAAATATTCTTGATATTCTCTTTGAGATGCCATCTCTCTTTTAGTTAATAATCGTTCCTCTCCTTTTTGGGGTTTTTTAGTTACTTCAATTTTGATATGTTCTTGGGATTTTTGTTCAGCAATTTTTAACAAGTCATTATTATGATTAAAATTCATTGATGTAGGTGGTGGAGGTTTTTTCTTCTTAACAGGTTTCTCCTCCCTTGAAGATCTGTCTGAACTTTTATCATCACTATATTTATCATTGTATTTAGTATCACTGGAATGACTAGAAGATTTCTTAAAATCAGAATATTTCCTTTCTTCATCATCTTCATTTTTAGAAGTTTCAGATTTTTTTCCCTTTGCCTCAGTTTCAGATGCTCTGTCCTTACCCTTTTTTCTTTCTCTAGGTTTAGGTTCTTTATGCATGTAAAAATTTTGATAATACTATTTCTATACAGCATATTTTGGAAATAATAATTATCAATCCCTCATTTGTGTCAAATGTCCATTGTTTAACAATCCCAATAATAAATGCACAATATCTATGATTTTGTCCTTTATTATATCAGTATCATTGAACTCTAAGGCAATTTTTCTGAACTGATTATTATATATTCTACTTTTCTACATCACAAATTGGTTGACCTTTATGAAATATCTGTTTCACAGATGACAACAGATATGTTCCAATTGTCGAAACTGCAATTCCGTCTCATTTTCCTTGAATGTGACCTACCCAATTAGACTTATCATGGGTGTTGTACTTAGTAACATGAGTCACACGACCGATGTCACAAGTGCAGCAGGATCTGCTTAGCATTTCTGAGCACCTAAGATCACCCCCAACTTTGGTGGGGTTCATGTTCCTTAGTCTTTAGTTTTCTATGTAATGTTTTGTGTACTGGTGTTAGTTTGTCTTTTCCTTTTTCAGCCATGGCATTGTCAAATTTGTTTTTTTGCCTTATGAGTTTGAATGTCCCTTTGGTATCTTTCGTCTCTCCTCTACTACTTACGTTTTGTTCTTCAACTAGTCAAGTCCTATATCAATGTATATGGGGAATGTAAGTGCTTAAATAACTACAGGTTTCGGATCCAGACATTTTGATAAGGGGGGTTCCATCCCTGGAAAACTATGAAACTTTCACATTATTACAAAAAAGAAGAAAAAAATGGGGGGGGGGGGGGGGGGGGGGGGGGGGGGGTTCCAACTCCTTGATCAGAAAATGAACTAGTTGAACCATTTGTTGATGTGCCTTTCCCATATCAGGGAACTTTCTAGGGAATTGTTTACATGTACATGTATAATGAAATTTAATGTCATTGATAGATGAAGGGTAGCTTGGTCTAAATACATTTACCACTTTCTCTAGCATGTCTAGACTCACCGAGTCTCTCAAAGTGATACAGTTCTTGACACCCGTATAGATGCTTTGGTATTACTGAAGACTAATGTTTATATAGGCGTTGGTTATTGTTTGTTTTGTGTTTACTGCTTCATTGACAAATACATATTAAGCAACTTTTAAATAACAGAATAATCCCTATTTCAAAAGCAAAGGACTATGGCTAAATTCTTCATTGTATTTTTACGAAAATGAAAATTATGACTAACCTTTGGTCAACTAAACTTACAAAGCATTGCTCATTGTAAGGGCGATTTTAAAACCAATTTCATTGCTCTGAATTACCGTTTTAAAAGTGTGCTTTACATTTTTGAATGGTGTTTATATTTAAATACCTGGCTTTGTTGGTTGATTTTTCTTAATTTCTCCATACATTCTATCAAATGGATTGGAACATACTGGTTTTTCATTCTTTGGTGGTCCACACACCAGCACATTTTCACGTACATCATTATAATTACTTCTTTTAGCACCATTTGATTTCTTCCGATGCTCATCTTTTTGGGAAATTCTTTCGTTTTCTGTATGTTCCCGTTTTATTTTCTTTGCTGGATTTGAGTCTGAATTGTGTTGAGAATTTGTTGCTGAGTGTAGTTTGAACTGTTTTGTAAAAGGTTTTGAGGGAATTGAAGAAGATGACATTGATTTATTTAACTTGTTACTTGATGTAGGTTTAGATGAACTAGGCACAGGCGACGAAGAATTAGTCGCTAATTTTTCTGAATAGCGATTTTTCCTTACAGTATTTTGTGAAGAACTTGCTGATTTTGTCACTAAATTTGAAGTGGATTTACTTTTTAATGAATTAGAGATTTGCTTTTCTCTTTTAACATCCACAGTTTGTTTCTCTTCAATTTCAGCCTCTCTTCTTATTTTCTTATTTTTTGAATATTCTTGATATTCACTTTGAGATGCCATCTCTCTTTTAGTTAATAATCGTTCCTCTTCTTTTTTGGGTTTTTTAATTACTTCAATTTTGACAGGTTCTTGGGATTTTTGTTCAGCAATTTTTAACAAATCATTATTATGATTAAAATGCATTGATGTAGGTGGTGGAGGTTTTTTCTTCTTAACAGGTTTCTCCTCCCTTGAAGATCTGTCTGAACTTTTATCATCACTATATTTATCATTGTATTTAGTATCACTGGAAAGACTAGAAGATTTCTTAAAATCAGAATATTTCCTTTGTTCATCATCTTCATTTTTAGAAGTTTCAGATTTTTTCCCCTTTGCTTCAGTTTCAGATGCTCTGTCCTTACCCTTTTTTCTTTCTCTAGGTTTGGGTTCTTTATGCATGTAAAAATTTTGATTACACTATTTCTATGCAGCATTTTTGGGAATAATAATTATCAATCCCTCGTTTGTGTCAAATGTCCATTGTTTAACAATCCCAATAATAAATGCACAATATCTATGATTTTGTCCTTTATTATATCAGTATCATTGAACTCTAAGGCAATTTTTCTGAACTGATTATTATATATTCTACTTTTCTACATCACAAATTGGTTGACCTTTATGGAATATCTGTTTCACAGATGACAACAGATATGTTCCAATTGTCGTAACTGCAATTCCGTCTCATTTTCCTTGAATGTAACCTACCCAATTAGAGTTATCATGGGTGTTGTACTTAGTAACATGAGCCACACGACCGGTGTCACAAGTGCAGCAGGATCTGCTTACCATTTCTGAGTACCTGAGATCACCCCAATTTTGGTGGGGTTCATGTTCCTTAGTCTTTAGTTTTCTATGTAATGTTTTGTGTACTGGTGTTAGTTTGTCTTTTTCTTTTTTAGCCATGGCATTGTCAAATTTGTTTTTTTGACTTATGAGTTTGAATGTCCCTTTGGTATCTTTCGTCTCTCCTCTACAACTTACTTTTTGTTCTTCAACTAGTCAAGTCCTATATCAATGTATATGGGGAATGTGAGTGCTTAAATAACTACAGGTTTCGGATCCAGACATTTTGATAAGGGGGGTTCCATCCCTGGAACACCATGAAACTTTCACATGAGTAAAAAAAAGAGGAAAAAAAGGGGGGGGGGGGGGGCGTTTCAACTCCTTGATCAGAAAATGAACTAGTTGAACCAAACTATTTGTTGATGTGCCTTTCCCATATCAGGAAACTTTCTAGGGAATTGTTTACATGTACATGTATAATGAAAAATTTATTGTCATTGATAGATGAAGGATAGCTTCTTTTAAATACATTTACCACTTTCTCTAGCATGTCTAGACTCACTGAGTCTCTCATAGTGATTCAGTTCTTGACACCCGTATGGATGCTTTGGTATTGCTGAAGACTAATGTTTATATAGCCGTTGGTTATTTTTTGTTTTGTGTTTGCTGCTTCATTGACAAATACATATTAAGCAACTTTCAAATAACAGAATAATCCCTATTTCAAAATCAAAGGACTATGGCTAAATTCTTCATTGTATTTTTACTAAAATGAAAATTATGACTAACCTTTGGTCAACTAAACTTACAAAGCATTGCTCATTGTAAGGGCGATTTTAAAATCAATTTCATTGCTCTGAATTACCGTTTTAAAAGTGTGCTTTACATTTTTGAATGGTGTTTATATTTAAATACCTGGCTTTGTTGGTTGATTTTTCTTAATTTCTCCATATATTCTATCAAACGGATTGGAAGATACTGGTTTTTCATTCTTTGGTGGTCCACACACCAGCACATTTTCACGTACATCATCATGACTACTTCTTTTAGCACCATTTGATTTCTTCCGATGCTCACCTTTTTGGGAAATTCTTTCTTTTTCTATATGTTCCCGTTTTATTTTCTTTGCTGGATTTGAGTCTGAATTGTGTTGAGAATTTGTTGCTGAGTGTAGTTTGAACTGTTTTATAAAAGGTTTTGAGGGAATTGAAGAAGATGACATTGATTTACCTAACTTGCTACTTGATGACAGTTTAGATGAACTAGGCACAGGCGACGAAGATTTAGTATCTAATTTTTCTGGATAAGGATTTTTCCTTACAGTATTTTGTGAAGAACTTGCTGATTTTGTCACTAAATTTGAAGTGGATTTACTTTTTAATGAATTAGAGATTTGCTTTTCTCTTTTAACATCCACAGTTTGTTTCTCTTCAATTTCAGCCTCTCTTCTTATTTTCTTATTTTTAAAATATTCTTGATATTCTCTTTGAGATGCCATCTCTCTTTTAGTTAAAAATCGTTCCTCTTCTTTTTTGGGTTTTTTAATTACTTCAATTTTGACAGGTTCTTGTGATTTTTGTTCAGCAATTTTTAACAAATCATTATTATGATTAAAATTCATTGATGTAGGCGGTGGAGGTTTTTTCTTCTTAACAGGTTTCTCCTCCCTTGAAGATCTGTCTGAACTTTTATCATCACTATATTTATAATTGTATTTAGTATCACTGGAATGACTAGAAGATTTCTTAAAATCAGAATATTTCCTTTGTTCATCATCTTCATTTTTAGAAGTTTCAGATTTTTTTCCCTTTGCCTCAGTTTCAGATGCTCTGTTCTTACCCTTTTTTCTTTCTCTAGGTTTAGGTTTTTCAGGTTTGTTTATCATGGCCCTTATTTGTGCTGCTTTTTCTTGCAATGCATATCTCATTGTTTCAGCATGTGTTCTGTCAAATATAACTTCTCTTTTAATTCCTTCATCAGTTTTCCCAAGCATTGTGATAGTTTTTCCATTCACTCTTTCCTCAGCTTCCTTGAATTTTTTTTTTATTTTCTGAAGACTTTCAAAATTTCCTGTCATTTTATCTCGGTCTATTTTACTGGATAGAGGAGAATACTTCGGATATCCGTTTGGTTTTTCATTCTTGTCACTATTACTTGATGACCCCTTTCCAATTGTTTCTGAAATCTTCCTAATTTTGTCAAGTTTTTCTGTATCCGATATTTTATCACCTACACGCCCAAGACTCCCTGATATCTTTTTGATAATTGCAAGTTTTTCCTGGTCTGACATTTTTTCTAAATTATCTTTATATGATGGTTTCTTGTCAGACTGTTTAGGAACATCTTTGTCATTTGAATGTTTATCATTTGATGGTTTCTTGACTGTCTGTCTAGAAACATCTTTGTCATTTGAATGTTTGTCATTTCCAGATTTTCTCTTCTGCTCTGAATGAGAAGGTTTATCGTGTTTATGTTCTGAGGAACTTTTGTCACTTACTGCTGAACTTTTATTTGAATCAAACTTTGATGAGAATACAACAGTTTTAGCTTTTCCAAAACTTGCAGCTAGTTTTTTAGCTCTCTCAAGTTTTTCCTGTGCAGATAATTTTGCACTTTTATCTGTTTGCTCTGTGATTTCTTCTGGAGGACGAGGTTTCTTTGAAATTCTAAAAACTTTCTTTTTTTCTTCTTCTATTTGTCTTTGTTTCTCTTCTTCTTTCATTCTTTGTTCGTCCATTTCTTAAAGCATGAAAAATACAGTTGAACATAGTTTCATAAATATTTCAGGTAAAAAAATTACAAAGATAAAATTGATTCAGAAAGAAGGATAATTCAAACATAAAAATATATTAACATAGTTTTAACAGCTTTAAGTTTAAAGTCCATGCTTTATTATTTTATTATGGGAATCCAAAATATCTTTTCCGGTAAATTGAAACTAGAGGCTCCAAGGAGCCTGTGTCGCTCACCTGATATTTTTATTTACAATTGATGCATAAATCAATGCAGCTGTTATACGTTTGCGTTAGTTTCAGAGATATAAGCCATAAATTGCATGTTATCCCTATGTTTTATTTTTAGCCATGTCTGTCATGTTGGTTGGCAGGCAGGGTCCTCGGACACATTGTTAAAACTAGATACCCTAATAATGATTGTGGCCAAGTTTGGTTAAATTTGTCTCAGTTGTTTCAGATGAGGACTTTTGTAAAAGATTACAAAAATTAACGAAAAATTGTTAAAAATTTACTTTAAAGGGTAATAACTCCTTATGGGGTCAATTGACCATTTTGGTCATGTTGACTTATTTGTGGATCTTACTTTCCTGAACATTATTGCTGTTTACAGTTTATATAAAAAAAGAAGATGTGGTATGATTGCCAATGAAAAAACTCTCCACAAGAGACCAAATGACACAGAAATTAACAACTATAGGTCACCGTACGGCCTTCAACAATGAGAAAAGCCCATACCGCACAGTCAGCTATAAAAGAACCCGAAATGACAATGTAAAACAATTCAAACGAGAAAACTAACGGCATAATTTATGTACAAAAAAATGAACGAAAAACAAATATGTAACACATAAGCAAGCGACAACCACTGAATGACAGGCTCCTGACTTTGGACAGGCACATACATATAGAATGTGGCGGGGTTACACATGTTAGCGGGATCCCAACCCTCCCCTAACCTAGGACAGTCGTGTAACAGTACAACATAAGAACGAACTATAAAAATCAGTTGAAAGAGGCTTAACTCATCAGATGGATAAAAATACAAATACTACAAATACAAGTGGACGTGACCGGGTACTTGTACATCCAAACAACAAAAAGACACTAAGTACAGATCTAAGAGTTCTCGCAGTTACTGACAGCTAGTTCAAAGCCACTAACAACTAATAAAAAAAAATTATGCATCTATGACTAAATTATCATTCCGTACACATCCAACATTCAATGGATTCAGTTTAAAGACGTCATAAACAGTCAGAGAAAAACATGACCTTGTACAATGCCAAGATACAGGTATCGACAGATTGTAGATCCATGAATGTGTATATGTATATAACAATAATATTTAGTTTGCTTTTAATTTACTGATAACAAAATCAATATTAGTACCAATAAAAACAATATTTAATGATCTAATTACAGTGTTGAATTGGTAACTATCTATAATAATATTCAAAATAAAATGCTTCGCTGAGCGCAGCCTAATACGATCGCAGTGGTCGAATCCTGAACAGTTTGGGCAAATTTGGACATAATATTCAAGCTTGATACTATCTGAATTTGGATTGTAATCAAATTTTTGCCATAATATAGGTTTCTGATACGAAATAAATGTGGTCAAAGATTTTTACAAATCTAATGCGCAATACTGTGCAATTAAAGATTACTTCTTGAAATTTTTCAATATTTGAAATTTGAATAAAATGCTCTGCAGTGCGAAGCTTGATACGACCGCTGAGGTCGAACCCTGAACAGTTGGGGTAAGTATGGACACAACATTCAAGCTTGATACAGCTCTGAATTTGGATTGTGATTAAATATTTGACACAGCATAGGTTTCTGACACAGAATGAATGTGGTCAAAGACTTAAAAATTTTATATTGGACATTTACCTATTGTGGTCAAATATCCAAAATCTAAATACATGTTTAGATTCAGCATATCAAAGAACCCCAAGAATTCGATTTTTGTTAAAATCAAACTAAGTTTAATTTTGGACCCTTTGAACCTTAATGTAGACCAATTTGAAAACGGGGCCAAAAATTAGGAATCTAAATACACGGTTAGATTCGGCATATCAAAGAAACCCAATAATTCAATTTTTGATGAAATCAAACAAAGTTTAATTTTGGACCCTTTGGACCTCAATGTGGACAAATTTAAAAACGGGGCCCAAAATCCAAAAACACTTAATACACGGTTAAATTCAGCATATCAAAGAACCCCATATATTCAATTTTTGTTGAAATCAAACAAAGTTTAATTTTGGATCCCGATTTGGACCAACTTGAAAACTGGGCTCATAATCAAAAATCTAAATACATGTTTAGATTCAGCATACCAAAGAACCCCAAGAATTCGATTTTTGTTAAAATCAAACTAAGTTTAATTTGGGACCCTTTGGACCTCAATGCAGAAGTTGCCAAAATTAACTAAGGTGGGAAAGAGGTTTGAGGATCTCCCCTCATATAACACATGTTGTGAGTAGTATTGATTTAAATGGACAATAGATGAACAATAGACATCTGCAAACAATAGGTGATTTAAACTGTGTAACTGAGTGGACCGTATCAAATGACACTCGGGTGTTTGTTTATTTTGCTATCTTCTGCAGACTGGAAAAAACTGCACATCAAAATCCAGGTAAGTTTTTAATTTTCTGAAACGTAGACTACATATAACTTTTATATATCTAGTTCCTGCCATGCCCTAAAACTTTGCTAAATATATTAGTTTGTTTGTACTCAAAGTAAATTTTAAGGCGTAAACACTGCCATATTTGTCAATTCCTTATGACTTACTGTACACTTTTATAAAAAAGGCTGTGTTTACACCATAAAATTTTCTCTGAGTACAGACAAAACTGTGTAATTTAAAAAGTTTTAATGCCTGGCACCACCTAGATAAATTATTGTTACATCCAACTTATGTTCTAAAAAGTTAAAACACTTTATGGATTTTGATGAACATATTCTTTCCTTGCCACACAAGATGGTGAAATAAACAAACACCTGAGTTTTCTTTGATACAGTCCACTCATTTACACTATTTAAATCACCTTTGTTGTGAGTAGATTTCTATTGTCCATATCAATCAATGATACAATACGATCATTACCTGAGGGGGATCATCTCAAAGATTTCACATGACTTTGTTCTTTTTTACACTACCTGTGGAAAGCAAAGAAAATGTTAAGCAAAATCCACAAAAGTTTTTTTCTTTTTAAAACACAAAATGTATACAATTTGTAAATATCTAGGTGCTGCCAGGATTTAAAACTATTAGAATTACACAGTTGTGTCTGCCTTCAGAGAAAATTTCAATGTGTAAACACAGCCATTTTTGTTAAAGTGTATACTAGGTGAACCTTTGGAAAACCCTTAAATTATACTTTTTCCAAAACTTTAAATCATAACACAAAAATTCAAACAATATTATGAAAGACAATAAATTTCTATTTCGATAACAATAAACATATAATATCTTACCTTTTGATAATAATCAAAAAGCGAAAAGATTAACACAAGAACTATATTATCCTTCAATCATGTCAGGTTACGATTATTTGATCACACTGGACACACGCACGAGTGTCAGGTAGATTTTATGCTATAAGGATTTAAAAGTAAAGGTCTAATACGGAAAATAAATATTATAAAAACATTTAAATGATTTACAATTATATATGTTTATATTGGCTTATATTTATATGTGCAATTAACTAATAATTATTTACCAACTTGTAACAGCTTTAGACAAATAAATCAATTATCATTGTTTTAAAACAAATGTCACTTATTCAATTTTTGACGTTGTTAATGTCGATATAATATATATTGTGTGTTCAATCACTGGAACTGCAAACGTTTGCCTTCATATGTAGATCTTCATTCCGAAAGAAATTGCTGTCTTTGTCCTATAATTATAGAAATAATTCATGAAGGCTTGAATATATATTGATTGTACCACGGGTTTGCTTTCGCGCGTGTTACAATATTCAGCATAATGGGCCAAGACGTGGTAAAATTACGATAAATTCAAGCCCCAATGAATTATTTCTTAATCTGTCTGGCTTTACTTCGATAGGACAAAACAAATGATGTAAAAATTGAAAACGATGCCTTTGTATTCTTATCGTTTGCGTAGAAAATAAGGACATCATTTATTTGATTTGAGTTTATATTCATTTACGATGAGAGCATGACTGTCATTCCTTTTCAATATTTATGACAATATTACAATACTATATTTCAATCTAATACAACATTGTTTAACAATTATCTTACCTGTAATATCAAATTACGGTAATTTCCTCCAACAGAAGATTTGTGAAAAACCTTGCTGTTTTATCTCCATGTTTTTTTTTCTGTAAAAGTGTTGTTCAGTCAAAATAAAGATTATATTTATATCCAGAAAATTCGAATTTTAAAAAAGTATGATTTGTTTTTAGTTTGAGATTGAGTTACAATGGGTATTATTTGCATTATATGTCATAAAGAAAAAATCTAGTCATGTATGAAGTAAAATAATATTTTCTTACATAATCTTATCAATGAATCTAAATCAATTACCTTATTACAAATTGAACTAATTAAATGTAGTTTTTACCTATCTACATATTTTTAAATATGTATCACAAATTTTAAAAGAACATAATTTAAAGATATTCGACCAAATTTATTAATAAAGTTTGTTCTCCATGCTTCACAGAACATTGCAGGCTGGAACTTTTAATAAAAAAAGTTAATGCCGACAAAACATCAATACACTCAAGCTGTATCAAGCAGTAAATTGTGGCTAAGTGTGGTGTAATTGAGAACTGTGTGGTCGTTTTTGTTTAAAAGTGGTTCGTGATACTTCGAAAAAATAATGTTATGATATTAACACCATATTATGGCTTTGAATTAATTGACGTAATTTTGTTTGATCTCAAGCACCTCTAATATCACCTCCCACGCCCACTAAATCATACCCCAACGACAAAAACAGCAAACGAAATATTTTCTTCTCATTATTGTCCATCTCATTAACATGTTGAATTTAACTTGTTTTTATCATTCCCCTTGTTAAATTATATCTTGTTAAGGACTTTGTAAGTTCATCAGTTTGTGTTAGTTTAGTTCCTTTGTGTATTGTTTCTAGCCTTTTCTTTTGAAATTATCTCGGCACTTTACACTATGCAAGAATGCTTTCATTAGACATCCTTTCAATTGTTTTAATGTGGATGAAGTAAAAAGAGCTACAGCGATTGGATGATATATCATAGTCGCATAGAAATAGAAGTTTGAAAAAATGAGTCACATATGACACTCTATCAGATTCTTTAAGCTATTATAAATGTCTTCTCTGGAGGATCATATTATTTTCTATTTAACTTCATTATGTTTATCTTAAACAGTATTTTATCATCTATATTCAACCAGTTGTAAGCTAGACTGATTGAATGATTATTTTCATTGCCTCTACCAGGTTTATGAGTTAAATAATTAATTCCACGGCTAAGGAGGTAATCTCACTGACTGAAATATGAAGAAAAAAAGCATTGACATTATTGCAAAAAGGAAGACTAAAATGCAGATCACTGATTGGACCTAAAAACGGTTCGATATAATTGGCAATCATTTAATTGTAAACATTTTGTTCCAAGTTTGAATACAGTTAAAAAACAAACCAACACAAATAAAAAAAAAAAACAAACGAACAAACACACAAACAGTCAGACAAACAACAACAAATAAATTGCTATGAACTACAATATCCTACTATCATCTATATCCTAGATTGATTATGCAGAAATCAATTAAGACCATTGAACTAGGAAGGGTGTTTTTCCTTTTTTTTCTTGTTCAAGATTTGGACGACAAAAAATAATCTTACAAGAGGAAAAAAAATATGGTTGTAGACTTTTAACAAAGGAATGGTGTGTAATTTTGAAGAAAAAAAAACTGTTTATGACGAAAAGCTTACCCACTTTCTATAAAATCAAACTTTAAGTACTGAAACCTTTATTCAGATAAGCTAGTTTAAGTTATAGTCTCATTAACGACCACATTCTGATACAAACATTGAGCATGGTGCATTAATTTGCGTCAAGGGTTTCACGAGAATGTCCCTAGTATTTACCTGTACGATAGATAGCCATACTTGTACTATTGTTCTGGGTCTGACAGTTATTTTAAATCTCTATTAGGTTTCGAGAAACTGACATATTGACAAAAATGTCACATTCATCACTGAAACATATAATGATTGTCAAGAGTCTGGACTATATCTGACGAAAACTGTTTGAACTAATTATAGATATTGCATTCTGTTTCTATTCGGATAAAAATATATCTATAAAAATATCAATAAATTATAGATCATAGATTAAGGAAGTTCGCTTGTCATGTTTTGGAATTTTTGTCAGATTTTCGGAATCCTCTGGTTTTATCTATTTGAATGCCTTAAAAAATTTTGCCCATTGACTCCCATTTTTCTTTTTAAAAATCTTTTACATGCATAATTATAAGCCATCTGTAAAAGTCTTATAAAATCTTAATTATTTTTTAATAGTTTTTGAGAACTTTAAATTGTTAATGATAAAGCTATGAAAAATCAAGAGAGAATATTTTTCCGCCAAAATTTCAATGGCTAATATCTCGAAAACAAGCACATTGACCTATATTTTATTTTTGCTCTTTTTGTTCTTTTATTAATCCCCTATCAATATATACTAGTGTTATGAAAAGCTTGTTATTTTGAAACTGAGTAGCGAACTTCCTTAATAAGGAGGTTACAAATTACTTTCATGATAAGGCTTCAAATCAAGTTGTTAAATCATATGTCCAGTCGTTCAAACAAACTTGGCATAAACCTGTATTAGAGTTACGAACATCAATAAAGGCTTATTCTGGTACAAACAGAAATTAGCTCTTGTTCCAAAAAGTTAAAAATACAATTTTGTAACTACTCAACAAAACCTTTAAAACAAAACATAATATGATAGACTAGAGCATTGAAACGGAGAATAAGTCAAAGAGACAACAACTCGACCAAAAAGTAAATAAAAGTTTAAGGCCACAAATGGGTCTGCAACGAGGCGAGAAAATTCTGTACCTGGAATCGTGCTTCAGCTGACCCCTAAACAATTATGTATACTAGTTCAGCGAAATGATACATGTATGATTTGAAATTATTTATAAAAGTTTATATAAGACATCGCACTATTTATGACGCGTATTTTTGTTGGTATGCTTTAACATGTAATAAATGATGTTGATAAGGGATAGATAAGCATTATGTACAATAATACAAAAGAGGCAATCAACATAATAATTTAGCTAAAGACGATTGATTTCAATGAGATACTTAATCTTTGCAAGTACAAAAAAGTCTAGGAAATTAAAAAAAGAGATAGACGATGACTTGCGAAAGATTTAAAACCCATGAATGGACAAGCAAGTGATTGCATATCAATTTTAATGGCTATAATTGAAAATAATACAATCAAGGACACTGTGATTATATATAAACAGGATGATTTTTTTAAATTAAAAATATGATTGTTTTATCTTTCAAAACCGAATTTAAAAATAAAACATCAATAAACTACAATTTGTGTTTACTCGAGCGCCATTGATGGGTCTTTTGTAGACAAAATGCGCCTCTGGCTTACAAAATTATAGTTTAAACAATAGTTTATTCAAATAAATTAAACATGGTATACAATTTTAATACATGAAATAAATAGGATTCAGAAACAAACAAAAATTGCTTTTATTTATCGGTCTCCTGGTATACAAATAAATGTCTTGTATGGTCATAAGTATGGCATGTTCTGAGATAGTCAGATTGTAAGAAAAGAAAATATAAGATTGAAGTTTCATTGAAATAAAAATTTAAAAAAACTGAATAAACGTGGAAAATAGCATAGAGTGTTGTGTGCAGAATGAAATACTTTGGTTTTATAAATGATCGAGCATTTACATCTAGGATTGAATCGTTTGGTTTTTATTATATATGTCAGTACTAAAATGAATAAGGTTTTTTTTTGCTAGTCCGACAGTACGGTTAAACCAAGTAGCAAGGTATTTATGTTAAACTAAACTAGAAGATCTGAAATTGAAGCCAAAAGTTCCTGAATTAAATTGGTATATACTGGACAGGATAATAGGAAATGATAATTTGTTTCCAAGTCACCACAACGACAGTTTATAGAGTCTACTAAATTCCGCAGAAACAGATGAGATTTTAATAAACTCAATCTTATCCTTAATCAAGCTTAAAGAACTTGTCCAAATCGATTTCCTACATGGTAATAATAAACCTGGTATCTTTGAAAAGATTATTTTGAACAATGCCTGAAAAAATGTTTTAAATGTTTACAACATATTTATATTTTTTGTGTTCGAAAAACAAATATAAAACTTCTTGGAAAAATAAAGAAAAAAATGCATATTTACTTTCTGTTTATATATATACTTACCTATCTATGCGGTAACCAGCAGGGTGTTCAAGGTAAACTCTCACATGACATTGACGTTGATCAATCGATATCATGGGACCTTATTAACACAGTTATTAAACACACATTCAAATTTACAGTTGACCTTTTTCAAGATCATTCGTCTTATAACCAAGTGCAAAAGAACCAATGAGTCACTAGCGATTAGCAAACTCTAGAACGTTTATATATATACTTACCTAATTCACGACAAGACGTGAAATTAACAACAAGACGTGAAATTCACGTCTTGTCGTGAATTTCAATAACAAAGGTCAAGAATATATGAATATTTGGCGAATCATAAGTCCTTCATGGTTTCAATGAACATTGCATTGAGCAACAAATCGGAGGACTTACCTTGTTTGTATTGGATTCCTAAACTTCACAAAAATCCGTACATTGTCGGCTCATCTGCATGTTCCACTAAAGAATTGTCCATTATATCGACTAAAATTCTGTCCGCAGTGAAAGATGGTCTTCAGAAATACTGTGAAACTGTTTACTCGCGTAATGGTATTAATCATATGTGGATTCTTAAAAACTCCAAAGAACTTCTGGATAATTTTAAATCTCGGTCTTTTTCTGAAATTAGTTCTATCAAAACTTTTGATTTTTCAACCTTGTATACCACCATTCCCAATGTGAAATTGGAAAACTGTCTAAAAGAAATAATCCACAATGCTTTTCAACATAACAAGAGTGCACACGCTGAAATATCTCGCCTTCTTTACTAATCATTGATATTATGTTGATAGTCCTAAATATAAAGCTTTATTACAACTGTCACATAAACTTAACATTAACCAAGTAAATTAATCATTGACCAATGAACCATGAAAATGAGGTCAAGGTCAGATGAACCATGCTAGGCAGGCATG